ATAGCGGGGCAATGGCGCCCTCCACGACCTTCGTAAAGACACGGTGGGACATGGTGAGGTACTGCCATGCCAGACCCTCGAACACAAACCGTAGAAACGGCCTGTGTCGAGAAAGAATCAAGACATGAAAGTAACCGTCCTTCAGGTCGACCGCTGCAAACCAATCCTGGGGCTGGATGCATCTGATGATGCGCTTCTGCGTCAACATCTTGAATGGGAGCTTGAGAAGGGCCCGATTCGAGACTTGCAGATCCAGGATTGGCCGGAGGCCACCGCCCTTTTTGGGTACGATGTCAAGATTCGATTCCTTTCAAACCCTGACTGAATTAATAGTAATTAATTCCCTAAAATAAAATAAAAGTAATCAAGTTATTACAGGGGCGAAGCTTGCCAATATCGGGTTCTTCCGTTCAGCCTTGCACTCTCACCCCGCACTTTCACCAAAGTGTGTGGATGCTGCTCTGGCTCCTCTGCGACTCCAGGGCATCTGCATACTAAATTATATTGACGATTGGTTGATATTAACTCAATCGGAGCGCATGGCGGCTCGGCATTGAGATGTCGTTCTCGCCCACATGAAAGAACTGGGGTTAAGACTAAACGCCAAGAAAAGTATGCTTTCTCCACCACAGAGAACCACTTACCTGGCCGTGGTGTGGGATTCGACCACAATGTAGGCACGATTGTCTCCTGCTCGGATCAAGTCGATTCTCACAGCAGTTGCGAGAGTGAGAGAAGTCTGGTCACTCACTGTGAAGCAGTTTCAGAAAGTGCTGGGTCTGATGGCAGCTGTGTCCAACATGATACTTTTTGGCCTGCTGTACATGAGACCCTTACAGTGGTGGCTCAAGACCATGGGGTTTTCCCCGAGGGGAAATCCGCTTCGCATGATCAAGGTCACCGGCGATGCTTATGTGCCTTAGACATGTGGAGGAAACCTTGGTTATTGTCTCAGGGCCCGGTGCTGGGAGCCCCTGGGAGCCCCTTGTCGTCGTGTAATGCTTACAAATTGTAACACTTACAATTATTAGAATTATTATTGAATTATATATTTATAAATGAAACAGATTGTTGCAGTACAATTGACAAGAAAACACTATTTTAGTTTATTTTACAATAACATAATTATAATAATAATAATTTTTCAATTATTATTATTATTGAAGTTATAAATAAAAAAGCTTGTTGCAGTACATTTTACAAGAAAACACTATTTCAGGTTTTCTACTTCAAAATTTCAGGTTAATTTAGGGGTCGACCGATTATCGGCACCGATATTAAGCCTTTTTATGATTTGATCCACAAAATTTTTAGTTTTTCTCAAAATATTGCTGTTTGTTTGAGCATCCTGACCAGCCTGAAACAACACTCCCTCACCAATGGTTTTATTTTGAGGCAGGTCTCTCTGTTTTGCTGACCAATACAAGAAAAGAGGAGTGCTTAAGGAATCTGTTTGAAAACAATCATTATTATTAGTTCCATTTGGTGTCATAAAGGGACAGAAAATACACACTTCACCCTTAACTAAATTTAGCTACAACATTCATTAGACTCATGGGTCCAACAGCAGCAGTTCAATATAGCATTGATCACGAGAAAACTGCTGAGCGAGGCCTCAAAGCTTATTCTTGAATGAAATTTAATGCAAAGTTGTAAATGATCTTAAATGGCTAAGGGATACACTGAGATGCAATGAACACAAGTCGCCCCATTTAGTCCAAAGGGTTAGGAAGTGGCCATTAGAGTATAAGGGCACTAAAGATTTACCTTCACCATTTGGCAGTCTTTCGGTCCTGTGCTCTCTCTCCTCATTACTGCACTGCTCACAGGCAGTTTACTTGTTGTTGTAATCCGGGGAACTTTCGGGATGTCCTTAAGGAAGAGAGCATAAAGAAACAGAACGCAACATTATGAAAGACACAAAGGAACAGAGAAAGAAAGGAAAAGAGGGAAAACAAAAGAGTGCTGGGGTTAAATGATCTAGATAGTTTATTATAAAGCACAGACAATTTTCCACTTAGGTTAATTTGAAGTCAGTTGTCAACGCTCTTTCTATTGTGATCTACTGTACATGAGTGGCATTAAAATCAGAGCACAACGCACACTTCTGTTATTGTTTTCCATTTAGCAAATGCTTTTATCTAAAGAGACTTACAGTTAATGGCAACTGTTCTGCTTAACAACATTTTGCTGGTTCTGTGTTTAAATCAAAAAATTTAAGGGGGTCTGAATACTTTCCGTACCCACTGTATATATATATATACTGTATATGCAAAAGCCCTTTAAGATTTCCTGCTAAAATTTATATTTTTATCAGGCTCCTATGTTTAGGTTCAGTAATTTTACTTTAATAGAAATGTATACGTCCTTTTCTATGGCATTATAGTGAAATAACTGAACATGAATATATAGGAGCCTGATAAAAATGCTCATTTTAGATGACAATTTCAGACAATTTCATTGATTATATATATATATATATATATATATGTATGTTTTGTCTGTAGTAATAATAATAACAAAACTGTGGAAAAACTAATCACATCAATATATCAAATAATATATATTTGCAATATTTACCTTACATAAGATAAGCAGTAATGTATCAGACACATAAAGCCAGCAGGTAAATGTGTCTCAGATTATATATGCCGAAATAGCGACTCTGGGTAAATCGGTTTTATTGTGAATTAAAGAAAAAAGCACAGTGGGGGACGAGACTTCTAGCAAAGCTCTTCACACATCCTATCACTCATTTACTGAGCAAAGACAGATGAGATAAATACTACCTTAACAAATTTCATACAGTCTCTGAAGCGTCTCTCTGGAGGAATAATGATATAAAAATAATCAGCTTAGGGACTCTCTGCTCCTCAGAGTGAATGAAATAGAATATGACACACTTATTGCTTCCCCATTGCAAATCAGCATGATATCCGTAGAGGCCTAGTTTTTGGTAAGCCACTTTTGAACACAGTCATCTGGTATTGACTTGAGTGCTGAGTTATGTACTACGATGTCCAAACCTGAAAGGAAAATGTGTATAGTATACCTTCAAAAAGTCACTTTTATTATCTCATGCACAGGTACACAGCTGAAAAAAAAACTTTGTTTTGGGCTGGTAAGAATCCCGTTATGAAGGCTTTGAGATAGTTGTAGCCCTTCTGTGCTGTAAAGTTTGCACATTTCACTTCAGGACATATCCATGAATCTTGTATCAAGCCCACAGAAGTCTTGTTTTTACTTCAGAAATGGTGTTCTATATTTCAATTCAAACAACTCTCATGAGAAGACCAACAACGTAAAGACAAGATGCCGTGGGGTGAGTGTTATAAAGAGTTATTAAAATGAGGGTTTTGTGTCTGTTATTTGTTCAAAACACCTCCTTTAATTAATCGGCTTGGCCTCCTTGGTTTAAGACGAGCCAATTAGAGGATGTTTGGTATAGATACCTGCAGGGAAAGCAGTGGTATAAATCTTTAGCTTCTCGGTTTGTTCAGATTGTCAGTTAATTAACTCTGTTTAACTGTACATAGTGAATCAACAGAGCTAACATGATCCATTTCCGTGATTTGCAGTGTCATCATGATCAGTGCTCTGTTGATGTCAGCTGTTGTTGGGTTGAGACGGAGAGATCAAAGCTTGTAACTTTTGACCTCTAACCTATATTGCCAATTTAATGCATTTACTAATCTTGGTGACCTTTATACTGCTGTATACTTGTAGTATGACTACACGTACATGATTTAAAGATGACATATGTAATTTCTGCACCACTACAGACACAGAATGGAATTGCTAAAATATTTTTTAAAAAGGTTTTCCAGATAATCTCTCATTTCCCATTGTTTACACTTGACCTTCCAGATAACATTTATTATGACACACATACACTTAAATAGCAACAACAACAAATCAACAGCAATCTGAGGTCTGTCTCAAGAAGCAGTCTAAGTGGCTTCTCATTTAAGTTACAGTTTAGTTTGAGCAAACTATTTTTGTCTCATGAAGGAAGATCAGTTTTTACCGGTGTTCATCCCCATTGTAAAGGAATCTGTTCTCTGTAGTTAGGTGGAATGCTAGTCCACTACGGAACTCCAGCAAGAAGTGCGACAGGAGACAGATGGTTGTTCAATGGTTTATATCTTCAGGATGTGTCACTTTACATCATCCAGCATTGTACAGTTCTTAAATTAACAGAGGTGGCAAGTGTGGTTTAGTCTGAAATAAACAAATAAAATATCAGAATCCGTCTGTATACAGTAAACAAACATTTACCTCAGTATACATCTTCTCTATTCAATAATATTAAATACCACACGATAAATGGCGCTAAAATATGCATGTAAATAACGTGTGCAGAATTCTCCAAATTCTGTATACTGAACTACAATATGCACCTATGACAACAATCAGACTGGCAGTGGCAACATTATTGCAATATGACAGGTAAAGAAAGATAAATTAACTTACGTTCATGCACGCACATTTACCACTCATTTGAAATAGCGGCAGAGAAATGAAACTGAAAGTAAACTGAAACCGCTCTGGCGGACCGCCTTCAGCGCTCTGTACACGCACAATTACGTCACACGCACGTTGAGGAGACTACCCTTACAAATGAATAAGGAATTTCGTACACCCATAGTAACTAAAGCTGCACGACTAAGCTGATTCGGGACAGATTTTGTTTAAGGAAAGAGATAATAGTAACGCTTTACAATAAGGTTCCATTTAACATTAGTTAACATTAACTAACAATGAAAAGTACTTGTAAACTATTTATTAACCTTAGTTAATGTTATTTTTTTAACATTTACTAATACATTATTAAAATAAAAAGTTGTCACTATTATTTAATGGACCTGTGCTAACATGAACTAACAAATAGTTGCATTTCTGACAAATAAAACAATAAATTGTCACACCATGTATTTGTGACAAATAAAACTTAAATGTACTTTAAATAAAAAAATAAGATTTTAATGTAAATTAAAACAGTGATAAATGTATATTATAAATAAGTTTTAAAATGAATGCACAATATTTGTAATACTTCAAATGACTAGGCTTGTCTTTTATGCTCTTTATGGAGCTATATTAATGATAAAGTTGAATAAATTCATTTGTGTTGATACTTGCATAATGATCTCCAGAGCTTCAGTGAAAAAATTAATCACTAAATAATCTACTTAACTGTCACGACACACACACGAGGATAACCGGAACTAAGGAGCGAGGAGAGAGGAATATACGAAACAGGCTTTAATCCATGGAACACAGGGTACATAAACACAGGAGACAGCAGGAAACCCAGCCACGTAATGAGAAGACCAGACAAAAGGGAAACTGAACAGGCAGGAACTTAAATACAAGGGTAATTAATAGAAACCAGCTGAACAGAATCATAATTAAACTAAACAAGGACAGGAAAATGACCAAATAAGGAAACACAGAAAGGCACATGAGGAGCAAAACACGGATCATAGTCTGACATAACTCCCCCCTCCCGGAAGGCGCGTCCCGCACCGTACAACATCCAATGGGGAGGGGGTTGGGAGCTCTGGAGGTCTCTACGAGCAGGGTTACTGGACGGAAGGCCTCCAGGGCGGCGCCCGTTCCGGGATCCATGGCGGATCCGGCAGTTCAGGGCACCATGGTGGATCTGGCAGCTCTGGGCGCCATTTTATAAAAAAATACTTGGGGACGCTTACAGGTTCCGAGGCCCTCCGTGGGACATGACAGGGGACTGGAGCCCTCCCTGGGCATAACTGGGGATCCGAAGCCCTCCCTGGGCTTAACTGAGGATCCGGAGCCCTCCCTGGGCTTAACTGGGGAACAGGAGCCCTCCCTGGGCTTAACTGGGGATCTGGAGCCCTCCCTGGGCTTAACTGGGGAACAGGAGCCCTCACTGGAGCGAGCTCTGGGGCTGGAGCTGACACTGGAGCGAGCTCCAGGGCTGGCAGGCTTGACTCAGG